GACGACGATGACTGCTTACAGGTCTGCTCATCCTACCATGTACAGGGAGTAGTGTGCATCCATCACCCAGGCCGGGCCGATCCACTTCCTGCATGCCAGAGCTCTGCTGTTTAGTACAGGTGGTAGCATGGGATGAGAGCACACTCCGTCATGGGACAGTGGTGGCTGTGAGCATGGCTCCCCACAGGCTCCAGAGGCTGGGCCGTGCTCTCTCAGCAGAGCAACCGTCAGCACTTGTAGCCTTGCTCACACTGCTTTGTGCTGTTGGGGACACATGCTCCCTTCCTAGGGATCTCAGTTGGCAACTCAATGGGCAGTCAGAAGGCCACCTACGATTAGGCTGCCCCTCCCTCTTTGTGGCCCAATTTAGGTGTTTCTGTTTGTGTCTACTGGTACTAGGCCTCTACCTCTACTCCCTCATTCTGCCATGAATATACAGGTCTGAAGGTACAGAAAGAGACCCCAGGAGGAGAGGGGTTGCCCAGTGACCAGAGCTGTAGTACCAGTCAAATGGTTCAAAGAAGCTCCCCTTGTGAAGACACAATGACAAATGACAAGCTGCCCAAACAAAAGGTGTCCTAGAGAAGGCAACCCAGCTAGCACACACTGAGTAGCAGTCACAGAGTTTCCGCCGAGGAAGGCCAGCATATTCAATGTCCCTGCCATGGTACCTCTCAGCCCCCCAGAGGCTAGGAATGCCCGCTCAGGCTGGGGCCCAGCAGGCAGTGAGCATGGCTGGGAAGGGAGAAGCTGTAAAGTATGACTAACAGGTTCTGGCCCAGACATGCAAGCCCACAGTCTACCCAGCTGCTAAGCCCACAGACACTTAGGCTTGATCAGAGCTCCTGTCTGACAGTGGAAAGTAGCGAACCCAGATTTGTTCCAGGCGAGAGGCCCTCAGCTGCTACCACTTAGCTTTGCACTGTTGTTCCCCAGCCTGGCTTCACTGAAGGATGGTCCAATGCCACAGGTGTGCGATTCACATACCATATGGCATCTGTGCAACTATTGTGTACACCTATGGAAGGCAGAGGTTGCCAACAGGTGTCTTCCTCTAGCCTCTCTCTCTAACTTTTGAGATCTGATCTCTCACTGAACCTGGGGCTCAGCAGCTCGACAGGCTGAACCAGTGAGTCCCAGGGCTCCATCTGTCTACCTCCACAAGGCTAGAATTACATAAGCCAGAATATCTAACTTTAAAAAACAAACAAACATGGGTCATGGGGATCAAACTCAGGTCCTCGTGCTGGTACAGCAAGCTCTTTACTCCCCAGCCCTGTGCTCCTTATGTGTAACGAATAGTTCTATGCAAATACACAGCGTTGCAGACTACCCCTCACCCTCACAGAGCCCCAGACAGCAGCACCTTCCCTGCCCTATCGTCTGCATCTGCTGGCTGGCTGTGTTCAGAGCAATGGGCCTGAGTGAAGGGCAAGCTGACCTGAGGCAGGGCTCTCATGTCAACTCTCTTTCTCTGAGCCAACCACTTCAGAAGTGGCCCTCCTCAGGAGTTACATGAAGGACCAGCAGGAAGGCACTTCAGGCTCAGGAGAGGGATCAAAAGGATCTTGTTCCAAGAGGGCAGCCTCAGTAAGGGTCCTCACTCTTGCCCAGCTAGAGGAAAGTGAGACTTCAGAGTCCACACTGCCAGTGCCCATTCCAAGGGAAGCTGGAACAGCAACACGGGTCTAGGAGGGCTGCCCCTCTGAATACCCTTGAGCCAGAAGGTGGTGCAATGGGTCCCATTTTGTTATCCCAGCAAGACAAGATGCCATGCATAGCATAGTCCCCCTTACTCAAGATAACAATGACAACTCCACTGACTGAACTGTGGGAAACTGAGGCACAATGATACAATGTCTGATGCAGCTGGATGGTTAGAGAGCAGGGCAAAAGGGACCACGCAAGCTAGAGGCAACCAGAAAGCCTATGCTGGCCCTTGTTGGCTTTTTGTTTGGTTTGGCGGACTGCCTCCATCAGATTGGCCTGTAGGCAGGTCTGTAGAGTAGTGTCCTAATGTGGGCAGTGTCACCACTGAGCAGACAGTGCTGGAAGGTCCAAGAAAGCAGACTGAGCAAGCCACGAGGAGCAAGCCAGTAAGCAGAGTTCTTCCATGGTCTCTGCTTCAGTTCCTGCTCTGAGTTCCTGCCCTGACTTTCTTCAGTGATATGAATGGACATGTAACCCAATAAACCCTTTCCTCCCCAAGTGCTTCTGTGCTCACGGCGCTTTTACCACAGCAATGGATATCACATTAGGACAAGGGCTAAGAGATGGGAGAAGACTGCCCTGGGGGAAGCAGGCCTCAGGAGACCCATGCCAGGCTCGAGGAGGGAAGGAGCTAGGCAGCTATGCTAAACACCTTCATGTTTGGCCCAACAGAAGCCATTTGCCCAGGGCATGGGCTCCATTTGAGTTCACTGCGCAGAGGCCCTGCTTACCTGGCCCTCTGCTTACCTGGCCTTCTCTGCCACACATGCTCCAAGCCCACAGGAGCAACCTAGATGCCCTCACTTGCCCTCTGACGGACTGTCAAAGCACCAGCAGGGCAGCGGGGACTGCAGCCCCTCCAAACTCATTGGCCTGGTTCTTCTCAGCTACAAAGGCACCTCACTCACAGCTGTGCTCTCAAAGAAGACAGGAAGCTTTGATCTTAGTATGGAAGATGTTAACAGCAAAGCCCCTTTTTAAATTTTAAACATCATCAAACCTGAAGTGTACCAGCCTCTCTCCCCAAGAAACGTGACACACTCTGGTCCACACTTGCACCAACCACACAAGAGGCTGTGAGGAGAACAGGTCCTCAGACAACACAGTGCCTGTGGTATGAGGAGAGTTGCACTGGGGACCATACACCTAGCCAACTCTGTAAACTTGGCACTTACCCATGCCCAAATCCAAGTCCTCTGCCTACCAGCCGACATGAAGCTGGGTACACAGGGCTATCTTTGTGGCCCTAAGGACCCTGTGGAGCACTGACTGCAGGCCACAAGCACTTTATCTCAGTCCTCAGCCCTAGAGATAGCGTCTCTTGCCAGCACCTCTCAATCAGATACAAATGAGGGCTGCCCTGACTCTGCTGGCCTTGGTTCAGGGACCCAGAGACTGCATGGAATACACTCCAGGTCCTTTAGACACACTCAGCCCCGCCCTCAAACATGAGCATTTTACCACGAAGTAGATACTGTGGAGTATCAGTGGGAGGTGTTTGGTGTGTCTGCCCAGGAGCAGCCTCTCCAGCTTGGTTGAGTCTCACGAAGAATGTTTCCCAGCACTTAGCCAGGTCATGGCTGCCAGGCCTTGCCAAGTGCTCTGCCTGGCCTAGGCAGCCAGCAGTGCCTGATGCCTAATGCTACAAATCAGATCATGTCGCTTTTCTGCTTTAAAATGCCTAATGGCTTCCCACTACTCATGGGATAAAAATGCTGACATTCACCAGGGCCACATTAATTCTCCAGCAACCCAGCCAGCCACAGCACCAGCCTCCCCTTTTGCACCCAGATGCATGTCCCAGGGACCCTATCTCCAGATGCCAGCCCTCACAACAGCACCCATAATTAAACAGCCACAAGCCCATGTGAGTAATATCCCCATTAAGCTATGAGCTGATGAAGACAGAGTGTGTGGCTCTCCTGACCAGTCAATTATCCACTCCGCTCTGCCCTGACAGTGCACAGTATACACCACGCTGAGACAAATGCAAACAAACAGCTCCGTGCCTGGTATCCCCACAGAGCTACTTCCCAGGCCTGGGTCTGTGTGAGAAGTGCTTTGGCAATGAGAGGGAACCTCCAGCCCATAAAGGATCTCAGTGCTATTCACTGGACACTTCTGGGAAAGGTGCCAAAAAGCCTTCCTTGCTTTGACCTCAACAGCCCTGGGAAACAGGAAGTCACTCACCAGCCATTACCAAAAGAGAGACAGACGTTGGAAGAGCCTAACAGAGCCCAGGTCAATTTCATGGAGGCAGAACTTCCATACAGTCTCTGGGACACCAAAAGCCCAGTCAGAGAGGATTGCTTCCCCTCTCCCAAGCGCCATGCCACTCAATGTCTACAGGGATTTCTGGTTCCCTAGGCCCACATCTCACTTGCTAGAAACAGACTCTAGGGTATCAAGTCCTGGATGCAAATCAGAAGGGAGTGCTCAACTCACTACATTCATTCTGCTGCCTCTCACTAGATGCCAGGGCAGTGGTGACAGCTATTCCACAGCTGTTTCAGACAGAAGCTAGAACGGCAGGACCAGTGCAGGTCAGGGGAGAACTTGAATGCAGTTCAGAGTTGGGCTCCCCTACATGAAAAGCTATGTGTGCAGACATATGCCCACAGTCCCTGGTGCTGGGGAGGCAGAGACAGGAAGATCCCTGGAGCTCACTGCTGGCCAGGCTAGATGAACTGGAGAGCTCAAGGTTGAGTGAGAGACCCTATTTCAAGAACTAAGAAAATATTTGAAGAAAATACCCCATAACATGCACATATATATGAATGAGCATATGGACACAGACACACAGAGTCAGACAGACAAACACACACACACACACACACACACACACACACAGAACAAAAGCAGTAAGTTGTCTCGAAACATGCACCAAAGGTTTGCGGCACACAGTGCCCCCCCAAAGTTTGAGAAGACTGTTCATCTTTCTGTGAGGCAGTCTGAAAGAAGCTGTTTGCACCCTTTAATCTACAATGGCTTTGTTCCCTTGAAGGAGCTAGGCCTGGCAACTCATGTTGCTGGCAGGAAGGCAGGTCCTTGTAGACACCCTGACAGGAGTATCTGCACCTCTTGAGCATGGAGACGGCTGGGTGACCATCAGTCAGTGCTGACCTGAGACATGACACTGGAAAGGCCAAACTCAGTGGGAACAAGGGTCTCAGCAGACAATGCAGCAGAAACAGCCTTTGGAAGGTAAGAAGGCAGGGGCTCAGGTGGGCTCTGCCTCTGCTCTTAGGAGTGACATGTGAGGTACTCAGAGGTCAAAGAGGAGGCCATACCTGAGTGTGTCCACCTCCTCTTTGCAGAACGGGAAGCTGGCTTCGGCTGAGCTTGTCTGGGCCCTCAGCATCTTCAGCTCCATCTCCAGCTATAAGGAAACACAGAGTTAGTGGTCAACATGCACAGGGGCCTACAGCCAGGTCCCTCTTATCCCCAAAGTCCTAAAAACGTCTGCATCTGAGCATCCCCAGGCTGGATGCTAGTTTGTGCTGGGAATCTGGGGGAAGAGGGCCATTTGCTTGGCCAATCCATAGCCTAGATCCACCAGTCCACAAGGCATTCTAAGTCAGATAAACATAGACCTTTCTATTTTCCCATGCTCAAGATTAGGTGGGGAGACATACGGTTGGTCATTCATGTACTGCTGAGAAAGCTATAGAGCCTCTGAGACAGAGATGGGCAGAGTAAGCCGAGAGAGCATAGTCTAGATTTAGCATTGCGTGGATGAAGAGTCCCAGCATTTCTGACAGTGACATGAACTGGCTGCCTGTCCTGAGCCAAGGTCTGTGAGCTGCTCTGCACATCTCCTGGGAAGGGTGGGGGTGGCACACAAACCCCAGGCCTGGATAACAGGAAATTCACCCAGAGCTGACCCTTGCTTCTTGAGTGTCCTCAGCCCCAACCCTCCAAACACATGCAGGCTCAGTACAGGGGCCTAAAGAACATGATGCCAGCAGACTTCAAGGAAAACAGAAACCTCCTCAGGGGTGTCAGTGCCTACAGCCCAGTTCAGACCCCTCACCCACACTCCTGCCACACTTGTCCTCCCGACAGCAGGCTTTCCAGACTCCAGAGCCACAAGCCAGATAACTTGGTTACACATTCTGCTACAGACACACAGGATGGGGAGGAAAAGTACACACTGTGTGTCCCAGTGTGTGTACGGATACTTGCAAACAGACATGTATGGAGGCCAGAGGGCAAAGTTCAGGTGTCATTCCTCAGGAGCCGTCCAGCTCACTGACCTTGGACACAGGGTCTCTCACTGAATCTGGAACATGACAGTTTATCTAGGCAGGCTGGTCAGTGAATTCCAGGGGTCAAGCTGCCTCCATCTCCCCATCTCCCACATGTCTGCATGAGTTCTGAGTACTAGACTCATGTCCTCATGCCTGCACAACAAGCACTTGACCAGCTCGGCTATCTTCCCAGCCTCAAGGATGGTGCCGTCTTAGCATGCCGCTGGCTTTTGTCCCTAACACACTGACACTGTCACTGTACAGCTCCTCCGTGGCGAGGAGCAAGCAACATGGTGTTAACTTCCAGAGAGCTGTCCCTTGCTTCCACACTCTAATGTAGTTTACATGCTGTGGAGGTCTCAGTTTTGAGAATCTGATAGAATGGCCCCGAACCTGGCTGTGCTGGACAGATCCCAGCAACTTTCCTGTTGCATATTGTTGGAGGAAGCGGTAAGGCTGCAGGGTCTACTGCATGCTGCTACAGTAAGAGGTGTGTGTGTGTGTGTGTGCGTGTGTGTGCCTGTGCACACACGCGCACACACACACACAAATGCACACGTAGCCAAAGTGTGGGTGTAGGTCGAGGACAACTTGCAGGAATTGGTTCTATCCCTGGGTTCCCAGTACCCACCATATGGGTCCTGGAGATCAAACTCAGGTCATCAGGTTTGTACGGTGCCCTTACCTGCTGAACAACCTTGCTGGGCTCACAAGAGTAAGCTCTCTAGCTTTGGAGAGGCTGGTTAGACACACATGCACACACTGTTTTCATGGAAACATTTGCTTCTCTGTGTACTTCCATGTTCCCTACAGAGTGGAGTACAGATGTCCTCGCGCACCTTCGGTGTGGAGAGGCATATCTGCCCACTTCCCACAACGCTTTACGGCTTGAATTCAGATGAGGCAGGAATAGCTGATGCCTGCTCAGATGCTTACAAATGCCAAGTGGCCTTGGCAGCCAACTGTTCCAATTTCTTTGATTCTGCATGGAGCTCATCAGAAAGTCTTTCCCCTTTAGTAGCAGAGTTTAGCCCATTTATATCTTCTATCTGTATTGATTTCTGCTGCATTAGGCTCTGGTGCTTTCTGTCTTCTGGCTCGTGAGCGTGTTTCCTTTTGTGGGTCTTGATAGTCAGTGTTTGGCTGGTAAGCACTGGCTGCTTCATGCTGCATCCATACTCTTCTGGGCTGGACTGTACCAAGGACATGTCCTACTGAATGTCTGACTAGGTTGGTAGGCTACCCTTCTCACTTGGTAACTGTACAGTTAGTGACAATGAATGCCATCTGTTTACCTGCTGGACCGAATGCCCAGATAAAGCCTTGTGACTCAGTCCGTCTGGTGGCTCAGCACTGATTTAGTATACTTAAGATGTCTTTCTTCATTGTAGGCATCCATTTCTGGAGCCCTGGTCAGAGGAAGGTGACAGTGGGACTCCTCCCCTTCTGTTCTGATCATCATCTCTCTCAGTGTCCCTGGGCAGGCCTGCTCCATCAGCTCCCCACACCTCAGACCATCGGAAAGCCACCATGGGCTTTTAAAAGTCTCCTGCTTACAGACATAAAACACATGCAGGCTGTGGGCTTCCTCGGCCTTTTGTTCTTGTAACCTGATGCCCATAACCAATCACAACCTCTCTATAAGACAGAGGGATCCTATCAACCCTAATGCTCTGGTAGGTCCCAAAACATTGCTAATATGCTTCCACTTCACAGTCATTTTCCAGGGCATCTTCCCACTCTCGCTAGTGATGATGGACAGCCCTTACTCTATTCCCTCATCTCTGCTGGATCCTTCTTCTGTCCTTGGGCTTCTTTCTAAAGCCCTGCATCCTGCACGACCTGGCACTCACAGTACTATGTTCTGACTGCCCACGTGAGCTGCATCCTCCACATGAACAGACAACGCACGGAGCCAATGCTGTTCGGACTCTGTCATGGCGTTCCCTCCCAGCACCTGGCCATCTCCTACCGCCCTCCAGGCTTGTGCAACTCTTCATCCAGCCCCTCCATTGCTGCTCTGGGACTGCTCATGTCCCAGGTTCTAACGTACAGCTGAACACTTTTTGACAACTGTGTGGTGGGGTCAACCTCTGGCAGAGGATTTCTCTATCCTGACCCACAGCTTCCTTCCTGTGACCCCCCCTAAGCATGACTCTTACTGCTTGCTACAGGAGGCTCCTATCAGATCCAGATGGAGGGGAGAACAGGCCTCTTGCCTTGCTAGGATCCAATCCCACAGCCTCGGCTTCCTCCACTGAGAGGCAAGAGCTGAGCTCACGGCGAGCATGACCTGCTTCTAGCCTGTATGAACAGTGACTCTAGTGCCCACTGTAGTCCTGACTACCAGGACAGCACAGGAGTCCTGCTCTGCTGAGGGGAGGCCCTGCAGAGGGTTAGGACTGCCCGGCAGGAAGTGCCTCACTAGCAAGCAGCACCTGACCCTCCCCTTCCTAGGGTCTTCTCCTGAAGCCTATACCTCCCCTTCCCTGATAAACATTTGTACGCAGTTCACACAACGCTGATCCTCCACCAGGACACATGTGCCTTCTGCTTGTGGCTTGGTTCTGCTCTACTTCTATTTTGCCAAAACAAGTTTGCCATTTTGTTTTGATTCCTGTTACATCTGCATGGTCTTCAGGGGAGGAGGGGGAGGTGCTGGCTCACACAACAACACTCAGAGCAAACATGGATCCTCTCATGTGAATCTGCAGCCTCAGGTTTATGCTCAACATCCCCCTCTCCCAGGAACATCCTCGTTCCCTGCTGAGCCTGCACCAGGCATGCTTCCTAGACACTATCTGGTGGCTGGCTCAGCACGATGCTGGCCCACCAGCCCCACTGTTGAGCACTGCTTCCCACCTTTGCCTCTCCTCCCTGACCTATAGCATAAGACTATGGTTGGCACAACAAACTCATGGTGGGTTTCTGATCTCAACCTAGATCTTCAAGCACAAGGATGACTCTTCCTCTAGCATTGGTATACCAGGCAGCCTTTGTTTTTATTATTTGCAGTGTTGGGATGGAACTATACCCCCAACCCTTCTCTGGGAGACTCTAGGCAGGAGCTCTACCACTGAGCCACACCCCAGCCCCTCACTGGGGGATTCTAGG